TGCCCAGGCTGGTCTGGAACTCCTAAGATCAGTCAATCTGTCCGCCTTGGCCTCCCAAAGTGCTAGGATTACAGGCATGAACCACCATGCCTGGCCTCTTTTCTGTGGTGAAAATAGGTAATAGTTTCTTCTTTTTTTTTTTTTTTTCTGAGACAGAGTCTCGTGACCAGGCTAGAGTGCAGTGGCACGATCTCAGCTCACTGAAACCTCTGCCTCCCAAGTTCAAGCAGTCCTCCCACCTCAGGGCCGCCCCACTCTCTGCCATCCTCCCACCTCAGGGCCCCACCTGCCACCCCCATAGCTGGGACTACAGGGGTGCACCACCACACCTGGTTAATTTTTGTATTTTTGCAGAGATGGAGTTGCATCATATTAGCCAGGCTGGTCTCAAACTCCTGACCTCAGATAATCTGCCCGTCTCGGCTTCACAAAGTGCTGAGATTACAGGTGAGCCACCGCACCTTGCCAAAAATAGGCAATAGTTTCTTAGGTATAACAAAAGAAGAAACAGATAAATTGGACTTCATCAAAATTTAACACTTTATATTTCACGTGACACTATCAAGAAAGTGAAAAGAAAAACCACAGAACGGGAAAAAATATTTGCAAATAAATCATATCTGTTAAGAGTCTGGTATGTAGCACATCTAAAGACCTCTTATAACTCAACAATAAACAGGCAATTAACCCCCTTAGAAAATGGGCAAAAGATTTATTTGAACAGACATTTCTCCAACCAAGGTATATAAAGGGTTAATAAGCCCATGAAAAAGATGTTCAGTACCATTACTAGTCAAGGTAAAGCAAATCAACACCACAATGAGATACCACTTTACACCCACTATGGTGACAATAATGAAACAGACAATAACAACTATTGGCGAGGATGTGGAGAAACTGGAAACTCTTACAGGTGGCTGGTAAGAATATAAAATAGTGCCGCAAAACTGGAAAACTGTGTGTTTACTGTGTTTGAGCAGTTACTCAAAAAGTTAAATGTACAACTCAGCCATTCTACTGCAAAGTATACAGCCAAGAAAAAGGAAAATACATATCCACATGAAATCTTTTACAACAATGTTCAAAGAATCATTCTTCACAATAGCCAAGAAGTTGAACAACCCCAAATGTCCATCAACAGATGGATAAAGAAAATGCAATCTAATCACACAATGGAATCTTGCTCAGCCATAAAAAGGAACGAACTTCTGATACATGCTACATTATGGATGAACCTTGAAAACACCATGCTAAGTGAAAGATACCAGACACAAAAGCCAAATATTACATGATTCCAATTATACAAAATGTCCTGAATAGGCAACATAAAGACAGAAAATAGGATGCCAGAAACTGGGGAGAGAGGAGAATAAGGAGTAAGTGCTAATGGGAATGGGATGTGAGGGTGAAGTATTTTAGATTTAAATAGTGGTAACAGTTGCACACTTTGTGAATATCAAAAAAAAAAAAAAAAAAACACTAAAGCACATACTTTAAAAAGTGAAACACCAGTAGGTAAATTATATATAATCTCAATTTTTAATTTTTAAATGAACGGCAACTAGAAGGAGAAAGTATCTCAATTTTTAAAATATACTGATAACTTCACAAAAAACCTAACACCTATTTCTGACAAAAACTCAGATAAGGGCATTTAACTTTCTTTCTTTAACTTTCATGTGCCCACCTGGGTCTCTCCCAAGCACACCTTCCTTTCTTTCCTGTTCTGAGCCTTTTTAAATAAACTTCTATTCCTGCTCTGGGAAAAAAAAAAAAGATAAACAGAAGTAAATAGAAAACTACCTCATTTTGATAAAGAACATCTACAAAAATTCTACAGCTAATATCATACTTAGCACCTAAGATAGGAACCAGACAAGGATGTCCACTCTCACCACTCTTATTTTATATAGTACTGGAAGTTCTAGCCAGTGAAATAAGGCAAGAAAAAGAAATTAAAAGCACACGTATCTGAAAGAGATAAAACTGTTGCTATTTGCAGATCACAAGACTGTATATGTAGAAAACTCCACAGATGCTACAAAAACTCCTACAACTAATAAGTTCAAAAAGGTTGTAATATAAGCCACATAAGGTAAGAAATGGAGAAAGCAGAGGATGGATGGATCTAGAGAAAGCTGAACAGTCAAAGGTTTGAAGTTCAAAAGAGATCAAAGAATTACACTGGGAGTTGTGTTAAAAAAAAAAAAAAAACACGAAGGAGGAGGAGGTTGGGGGGGAGAAGGGGGGAGAGAGAGAGAGGCAGAGGGAGACAGAAAGAGAAAAAAAGAGAAAGAGAAAGAAAAGAAAAGAGAAGAAAAGAGTTGAAAAAGGAAAGGAGGGAGGGAAGGAAGGGAAAAGAAAAGAGAAAAAGAAGGAGGAGGAGAAAAGGAGGGAGAGAGAGAGAGAGAATTAGATAAAAGAGGGAGACAGGTTTTATTCCATCACTACTGCAGTTTCTCTACACCATCTAAATGTGCAATGAAGGAAATCAGGTGGTTTGTTTTTTGACAGCAACTGAACAATTCACTGGTCTCTCAAAGTTACTGTAAAGAGATGAAAATCATTTAGGTTAGAAATTCTAAAATTTTACACATATGGCTATATATTAGTTTCCTTAAACATTTTGGCTCTAACAATTAAAACAGTAATACTACACATATAAAGCAAAAAGCTGAAATTATCGACCTCCAAGAAATTTTGTTAAGGCTTCCTTACCATTTGCTATTTTTAACACAGATGTTTAAAAGAACTGTTTCCATTCTCAACCCTACACCTATGTGTGTGCACGAGCGCACACACACACACACACACACACACACACAAAGGGAATTTGGGGGCAATATTTATACCTAACCACATAGAAAATGCTGCTTGTGATACATCCAATGCCACACAGTTTTGGCATTCCTGAGGGTGAAATCATATTTGTCACATCACTGGATCCCATGGAGTGTAAGTACACTCTTTTAGGCAAGATCCCCAATGTGGATGCAGTCTTTCTCCCCAATGCCAGCACTATAATGAGATTCTGTTTCACAGCCCTAATACTGGCTTATGAAGCACAAACTCACTTTCCTGCCACTGCTTTTACTTACTTGCCCAGCCATGTTCTGTCCCAGTGCCAACAATTTTTAAACTGAGAAACCACACAAATACACCCACACAAAAGTAAAAGCATGTGTCCATCAACTAACTGCCTGTGAAGACCTGCCTGTGGACACCAAGCAACCCCACTCATCGCGAGTGCACCACTCAGATGCCATTGGCTCTACCAATGATATGCTTTTTAAAGTACATATCAAAGTATGTACACTAAAGTACAGGGTAAAGTAGAGAAAATTACACCATAGTTACATACAAATTATACTGTTATAGGAAAATGAACTAATATAGCAAAAATGATTTTTGATGATAATAGCTGAATTATGATATTTGTTTTCTATTATTTTTTACAATCTACGAAAAAGAGATAAGGAGGATTAACGGAAGCATTTTTAGATCACTTTAAGCATTTTATATAGGAAACATGCTGTTCAAAGAAAAATTCCTTTGGAATAATAATAGGTACACAGCAGAGCGCAAGTCAAAAGACTTGCATTCGGTTACCCGCTCTGCCCTATGTACCAACTTACTTTGAGGAAAAGCACTCAGACTGTTCTTTACAATCTCAAGATATTCAAAATGTGAAGGCTTGTACTAGGAAGACAGGAGTAGTGATGAGGAGAATTACTGGGATTCGGGATGCAGTTTTAAAAGTAAATCCAACATGATTAATGAATTCGATACTGGTTATAATCTAATATACCTAAAAATTCTAAAATAGCCTAGTTATGATACAATGAGGTATCCAGAGTTAGAAAAGTTTTTCTCAGCAATTAACTTTTTGATATTCTTTCCTTCATACAGGAGTAATTCATTCCTGTCTTTTCCTCTCCTGGACTCACAAGAATTACCCACTAGTTCTCAAATATCATCACAAAGTATAGGGAAAGGAATACAGGAACCGGAAACAACAGGTTACGATTCACATCAAAATCATTACTTTATTTATTCGACAATACTTACTGCACACCTATCACAAGCCAGGGACTCTTCAAGGCACTGAACTTACGCTCATTGAGAAAAAAATAAAGAACAATAAAGGGAATAAAGTAAAGGTCCTGCTCTCATGAGTAAACACATACTTTTCTAGTGATACACGCTAAGAAGAACACTCCAACAGGGTGAGGGCACAGAGCGTGCTATTCCAGTGGCCTTCAGTAATGCAGTGATACTGTATGAAGTGAGATCTTCATGGCATGAGGGAGGAGGGAGGAGGCCACAATGTACCCACAGGGCAAATACTTCAGGCAGAAACAATGATAAGCACAGAGGTCCTGAAGCAGGAGACGCTCAAAATGTTCAAAATTAGCAAGGAGGTCAACGTGGCTAGAGCAAAGAGAACTTTCACAAAGAACAATTCAAATGACATCAGAATGGTGATGGGTGCCAGATCACTCGAGGCCCAGCGAGCCATGGTGAGTTGCTGAATTGCAGCCTGGGTGTGATGGGAAGCCTTTGGAGGATTAGGAAGAAGATTCACATCACCTGACTTGTATTCTGAAAGGATTACTCTGGTTGCTATATGAAAAACAGACTTTAGGCATGGGGAAACAGTAGAAGAAAAGATACTGTTTAGGAGGGAAACACAAGAGCCCAGGTAAAATACCACGACAGCTTGCGCTGGGAAGACAGTAGCAGCGATGATGAGAGTTCCTGGGATTCAGGATGCAATTTTAAAAGTAAAGCCAACAGGATTAGTTAAATTCAGTACAGGTTATGAAAGTCAGGGATGATTCACTCCACTCTTTCTGGCCTGGAAAACTGGGGGAATGGAGGTTACGTTTTAAGAGTTAGAAACTCTTACTAAATTACCTAATTCAGCTGTTCACATACAACATAAATGATACGAATGTAAAACTGAAAAAGCAAAAGCAGAGAATGCTTTTTCTACTCACCATTTGCAGATTGTATCATGTTTCCAGATTTCTGGACTTCATCAAATTTTGTAAAAATTACATTCAATCTGTATGAAAGCAAAAATGTAAACAAACTATTAACCATCACTGCTCATAGCCAATTACATTAAAATGCTAATGTGAAGGTGATCCCCACCGCCCCCCAAAAATCAATGATACAGACCCACCTAAGAACGAAACACAGTGACTAAATCAATAACATTAACAATAGCCAACAATAACTGAGCACTTACTATGGGTAAAGAATGGGCCTAGAAGTCTATCTGAAAGAGCTCTTTTAATCTCCTTAAGGTGACATACCTGTGGGGTGGAGATTCTAGCCCTGAGAGTAGTAATCCAGAGCCCCTGCTCTCAGACATTACTGACTACTCTACACAAAATGTATATATTATGAGAAGTGTGTGTTTCTCCTATTTCTCTCTTAGCACAAACTATCAATTACTTAGGATGGAGCTTTTCAAAATGCACTAATAGTACATTACAAAGGCTTGTGCTTCCTGCTGTGATTCATGCTCAATCCAAAAATGCTAGAAATAATTTCTCTAGAAACAAATGCTGTGACTGGATCATCTTCAGCTTAAAAAAATCTGTATTACATTTATTTTCTATTAATGGATCATTTCACCTTGGTATTTAAATTAAAGCAAAATTCCTTAACCAGTCTAAATACTCCATCCTAGTGACACCAAAAATGAAAGAAAAAGGTGAGAGAACGCAATCATACTTAGTAGAAAAAGTTAAGAAAAAAGAGGCTTTCTTGAGCCCGGCGTGGTGGCTCATGCCTGTAATCCCAGCACTTTGGGAGGTTGAAGCAGGTGGATTGCCTGAGGTCAGGAGTTCAAGACCAGCCTGGCCAACATAGTAAAACCCCATCTCTACTAAAAATACAAAAAATCAGCTGCATGTGGTGGTGGGCGCCTGTAATCCCAGCTACTAGGGAGGCTTAGGCAGGAGAATCGCTTCAACCCAGGAGGCGGAGCTTGCAGTGAGCCGAGACCGCGCCACTGCACTCCAGCCTGGGCAACAAGAGCAAAACTGTCTCAAAAAAAAAGAAAGAAAAAGAAAAAAGAGGTTTTCTCAAGCAAAGCACAGGTATATTGGAGTAAGTGTTGAGATTCCAAAGTAATGTATCTATGCCTTCAATTTTAGGGACATTTTAGTGCTTTTTAACACACCATCCTATCCTGCCAGCTCTCTTCATTTCAAATATGTTTGTCTTTTCTTCTCAAGCGAATGGAAGCTCCTCAGGGGTAGAGATGTGAGCTATGCTCTCTTGGTATTTGTACCAAGCACTACGTATGCCATGCAGATGCTCGCTCAGAGTTACATCACTATGTTAGACAGCTGAAACCTAACTCCTCACTCTGGAAAACTGTGGGTATTGACACAAGCTTTGGCGTTAGTTCATTCATTTGTTCACTCACTCAAAACTAGAGTGCCCATTATGAGCCCAACACCGAGCTAGTGAGTTCTTACCCTCTGGAGCTCATGCTCTAAGTAACAGAGAGGCCAAAACTACACATCAGCAAATGAAGGGGATGAACCAGCCTGATGCACTGCCTTGCCCCATTCCATAGGTGACACCAACAATCTTTTCAAGCCATCTTTCCACCAAGCCCAGATGCTCCCTCAGAATCCTTCTCAAAACTATTCCAGGCAGACGCTACCCATCAGTTAAAACTGGCACTGAATAAAACTCCAACTGCCATCTCAGGACCAGAAATGAGTAAAACTATAACTCACTTTCAACTCCAGCAGTTACTAAAGAACTGGAAAGATGCCTTACATGATTGTGTTTCTTATGATGTTTCCATTATCTTCCCTTTTTAAAAGTAACGAAGATCTTCAACGGCTTGACAAACTCATACATAATATCATGACACAGGTTGCCAGGGCATGCCCTCACTAAGGCACTGCTTGATTGTGTCACAACCACAGCCTCTGATGTGAGCATGCCTGCGAGTTTGTAAGTTGGAGCCAAGGTACACCTCTAGTCTGGTTGTTCCTGAAATTACTGGAGGAGGGCAAGTGTTTCTCCCATTCCTGGGAGAGTATTCAGCATTCTAAATGGTAATTGTGTACGGAGTCTGTGGATTCTTTCTCAGTGGTAAGACATGCTCACTGCGGTCACATTACCCACGACCTGGCAGGCCTGAACAACTAGGTATGAGAACGCTATAAACATAACTATTATTGGTATGTGCACCTAATTCAGAATTCCGCCTGCTTTCACACTCCTGTCTCACTAGCTCCCTCATTCTCTGCTCATTAATGCTGCTACAATAGCTCCTATCAAGGTTACCACCTAAAGAGACAGTCTAACGCCAACAAAGCATTCCTTAGGAATGAAAGGACTGGTTTTGTTTGCTAGCTCTGAGCACAAAAATATAAAATGTCTCTCTTGGGAACTACTGATTCACACAAATCTAAAGGGATGAGTTTCATATATTCAAAGACATTGAATACATAACTAACCATTACCCTCTGAAGCCACCAAATTGTTTTATTTTAAATCTCTGGATTTACATTTAAAATAAATTTCTTTACTGGTTTGACAAATAACTACCATCTTCCCCTACTTTTTCTGAATTTAAATTTCCATATTAAACTCTTCAATCCAATTGGAATTTATTTTACTATAAGATTTAGTTCAAATTAGTTCCTTCCTAGAAAATGTTATATACACATTTTAAATAATTTCCTGGAAGCAAATACTTAAACACAGCAATCTCAGTCAATAAGCTGCATCCATATACTTAGAGCTTCTAGCATGAAAAAGAGAAATCGACATAAACACATACTTAGAAATCCAAACTTGGAGAACAGAAGAGATTTTGAAGAGAAAGAAAAAGTTTTTTAAAAAATGTCATTAGTGGTTCCAAAGAGATAAGAGAAAATATTGTGATCATAAAACAGGAGGGGAGCCCTTTAAAATGGCAGAGTATGGACCCTCGAAAATCTGCTTCAAAGGAAGCAAAGAAAACATTGGCAAAAACTGTCCAAATCAACTTACCATCATGGTAAGAGTGAAAACAAGCAGCCTGGCAGCCACTAGAAAGAGCTGAAGCTCCCAAGTCTGGAGCTCCCTAAAAGTCCCCATTCCCAAAGAACTATCATTCCACCCACCTGGCACATCCCTGCAAGCCCAATTGTAGGGCTTGTCTTTATCTGACCTGACTTAGAGCTTGTTCAATGTTAGAGGCCTTTTCCCTGAGGCGATGATCAAAACTAACCAGTGACAACTGTTCAATATGGTGGATACCCGAGACAGAAATAACAACTGGAGCAAAGAAACTAACCAAAAATTTGCGGGTGGGGGGGAGGAGGGCGGGGGCTAGAAATTGAGATGTCCACAGCAAACTCTGAATATACTGACATACTCCTGGGAATCTGGGAGGTATATGTGCAAGGCTATGCAAATGCACAGGCCCAGGAAAGACCCCTGAAGGCTCTAACGTCCCCCACTGGCTGACTTTGACACTGAACAAGCAGGAAGTAAAAAGGAAGACAGAGGTGTAAAACACCTCTCACAGCACTGAAAGCATGCCCCCAAAACACAGAGCCAGTCACTAGAGTCTGGGAGACCTACTGGTTCAACACGCTTAAGGAAATCTCTGTGTAATCATTAGCTAATTGCTAAGCTAACCAACCAGAGAATTCAGTGGCCACATAAAATAAAGAACAAAGACTTTAAGGAATTCATTTAGTAAAGTCACTAGACCAAAATAAGCAACAAAAACAATAAACAGTAACAACAAAAAATCTGGGGAGGGGAAAGAATATGATTTCCTGAGTTGCCGCAATATATTATTTAAAGTGTCCAGAGTCAACAAGAAATTGTGAGACAAAGAAACAAGAAAATATGGCCCATACAAAGGAAATAAAATTCAGTCAACAAAAACTATTTGTAAGGAAACCTATACATTGGCTTAACTCAATGAAGACTTCAAGTCAATTAATATAAATACATTGAGAGATCTAAAGAAAACTATTTCTGAATAATTAAAGTGTAAAAACAATGTCTCACCAAATAGAGAATAACAACAAAGAGAAAGAATATATTTAAAAGAACCATATAGAAATTCTCGGCCGGGCGCGGTGGCTCAAGCCTGTAATCCCAGCACTTTGGGAGGCCGAGACGGGTGGATCACAAGGTCAGGAGATCGAGACCATCCTGGCTAGCATGGTGAAACCCCGTCTCTACTAAAAAAATACAAAAAACTAGCCGGGTGCCGTGGCGGGCGCCTGTAGTCCCAGCTACTCGGGAGGCTGAGGCAGGAGAATGGCGTGAACCCGGGAGGCGGAGCTTGCAGTGAGCTGAGATCTGGCCACAGCACTCCAACCTGGGCGACAGAACGAGACTCCGTCTCAAAAAAAAAAAAAAAAAAAAAAAGAAATTCTGGAGACAAAATGTACAATAACTGAAATTAAAAATTCACTAGGAGGAGTTCGACAACAGATCTGAGCTGGGACAAGAAGTAATCAATGAATTTGAAGATGAATCAACTGTTATTATATCCTATCTAAGTAACAGAAACAAAAAAAAAACTGAACAGAGCCCAAGAGATATCTTACAAAACCAATATACCAATACAGTCACATACTAGAGGTCCCAGGAAAAGAGAAAAAAGAAAAGGACATATGGTACTTTTCAAAGACTTTTTGGGTCCGATTCTTTGCCCTAGTTGTTATTGTTGCCTCAGGCATCTACCATGTTGAAAAATTATCAAAAAAGATATGAAGAATAATGGCTAAAATCTTCACAAATTTGATATAAAACAATCTATATATTTAACAAGCAACTCCAAACAGGATAAACTTAAAGAGATCCAAATCTAGACACAATAACCAAAATGTCACAAGAGAAGACAAAGAGAAAATCTTTAAAGCAACAATGGAGAACACACTCATTGTGCACAAGGGATCCTCAAAAAGGTCAATACCTGATTTCTCATGAGAAATCATGAAAGCCAGAGTGGAACAGCGTGAGAATAGATACTATATTCAAAGTTCTGAAATTAAAAACACAATCAACCAATAATTCTAT